AGGAGGAAAAAATTCATAACTTTTTTTCAAAAAAAAAAAAAAAAAAAAATTGAAAAACTTTTTCCGGAATAATTCTTTGGAATCCAAACTTTCAAACTTTTCACTCACTTGCGACTATTTCAACATTAACGAACAACATTTTTTTTCAAGAGCAAAAAAAACGTTCGAATTTTCGAATGTTTGGATTCTTCTTCTTCTTTCACTCGATTCAAGAATCGAAGAATCAGAATTTCATTTATAAAATTCTCTCTCTTTCTTTCTATTTTTGGTTTATTGAATGTTTGCTGGATCAACAGAATTGAAAGAAAAAAATCTATGGGTCATACTTTGTTGTCTATATTGACAAAAAAAACATCATTATACGATCAATTGATGCGGCAAAAATTATCATCATCATCATCATCATCATTACATTCGTAATTCGTTAAATAACATCATCATCATCATCATTATTATTTTAACATCAAAGAATCTAAACTAACCAATGATCAAACTACTAAAAAAACTACTTCCCCAATCAGAAAATGAATTTTCTTCTCTTCTAAATATCGCAATATAGATCAAGAATAACAGCCATCATCATCATCATTGGCACTAAATTACATATGGCGCCAAAGAAACAATGAATTGTGTGTGAATTGAAAAGAAAAAAATGATGGCTTTTCACATGAGTGGTTTTTTTTTCACCATAGCCAAAATAACCGGGAGCCTGTATAAATCATCTTCATCATCATCATCATCATAGTCATACTGGCCTTTTACATATAGAAACAATGAATTTTCATTGCAAAATTCTGTAGTTCAAATTCTGTATTCTGTGGAATTCACACCGAAAAAAACGAAAATGACCGAATCCGGGCTGGCCAATTGAATGGTTGGCCAAATGGTGAGCAAGACCACCACCATCACTATCGATTCAACCACTCCTTTTTTTTCCCAATGGTTTTCAAAAAAATTTCCCAAAAAAAAGGAAGAATATTCTGTTGTTGTTGAAGGAAAACTGACAAAAAAAAGTTAGATGTATAGAGATTCGATTCAAGGAGATTCTATAGTTTTTTTTCTTCTTCTTTGAATGATGTTTGTTTCAGCAAAAAAAAAATCATTACTGCTGCTGCTGCTTTATTGATGGTGGTGGTGGTGGTCGTGGATCATCGTATGGCGTCATTATTATTTTTGGTTCGTTCGAGTTATTTCCATCATCATCATCATCATCATTATCGATGTCGTCGTCGTCTTCAAGAATAGCAGATGTTTTTCAGCCAGGCAGCCAGTAAGTTTTTTGCTTTTTGTGTGAATAAGAAGAATATTCTCAAATTTTGTTGTTGTTGTTTGTCGTCTGACGAATGAAATTCTTATTCTTCTGACTTGATACACAGAACTTTCAAGAAATTCTGGAATTTTGATTTCTGAATTCTGCTGTTTTTGATATTTTTAAGTGCAAAATTAATTCTTTCAACCAACCACAACAATCACCATCAACATTGGAATTCTTTTGTGAATAACTTTTTAAAATTGAAATTCTTTGGAAGAACAAAATTTTCATAATTTCTTCGTCGTTGAATGAAAAACTTTCAATTAAAAAAAGCACTTTTCAATGGAAATTTTGAAAATTTGATTTTTCAAAAATGGCAAAAGTCAAATGAATTTCAACCGAAACAAAACAAAGAAAAAAAATTGAAATTTTTTTGGCGGTTTTTCTCCCGAAAATCATCCGAGTGCTCATCCACAAAAATTGTAACCAAACAAAACAAAAGATAAACAAAAAAAAACTCATTCGAAATTCTTATCACATCCATAAACAAAGTGACAGTATTTTGCTTGTTGTTTTTCTGTTTCCTTTTTTTTGCCACAAACATCATCATCATAATTAAAATTAACGACAATGATAATGATGATGATCAGCTATCGAAATCGTGTATAGTAAATAAAAGATCGTGGCCAGAATATTCTTCTAGTGTGTTTTCAGTTTATCATTTTTTCGTAATTTATTGTCATTTTGGTGGATGCGGGAATGTTGAATGTGTGTGTGTATGGCATTCATAATTGATTCATTGAAAAACAGCAACCAGAAGAAGAAACATTTGCCCGAAAAAGACAACTTCTAGAATTCATTTGATGATGATGAACCTATAGAATAGTAATCGAAGACGGAAAAAACGAAAAAGCCATTAAGATTGGTAGTTATTTATTGATTAACATCAATTTGGTAAGAATTTCTTTTTGTCCGTTTTGGCCATAAAAATTCCCCCAAAAATAATGATAATTTTTTTTTCTTTTCCTTTGTTTTTCTCGAATGAAAGATGATCATCATTTTGGATTCTGATCTTTGAACTTGGAGCATTTCGGATTTCCCGAATCGAATCATCAATCAAAAATCGAATGAAAACGTAGTACAAGAAGGAAGAAGAATCTGATTTTAATTCAAGCCTTGTCGAAACATTCGATTTTTTCTGTTTGTAATCTGATCATCCTTATCATTCGATTTATATATATAGAGAGAGAGAGTGAAACAAACAAGAAAAATGTAAAGATCAACGACAAAAACTATCGTCATCAGTTTTTTGTTTTTCTTCATTTTTTTTCTCTCTCTCTCTCTCTCTCTCTTCAAGTTTGTTAATTGGCCAATTATCAATCCATCCAAACTATATATATATTATACAACGATTGGAATATGTTGTTTTTATTTTGTTGTTGTTAAAGACTTTCTTCAAAAAAACGAAAGAAGAAAATCCGACCAAAAACAACACAGAATTCTATATATAAATGATAATCATTGTTTTTTGTTTATTTTCACCGGGTTTTTTGTTTTGTTCATCCATTTCGAATGAACAAAAAAACAAAACGAATACAATGCCCAAATGACATGATTTTTTTTCTCTATTGTTTATGATTATCCGTGATTTTCAGTGTCTATGGATTCTTGCTAATGGATTCTGTTTGATTTTGACAACAACAACAACAACAACCGACCGACAATCGTCAACAACAACAATGACAAGATTCTAAATGAATGAAAAAAAATAACAATAACAAATGACATGATACATACACACACATACTGGATATTGTGCTGAAATAAGCATGAATTTAATCGAATGAAAAACGACGAAAACGAAGATGAAAAAAAATCGATTTTTNCCGAATCAAATCATCAATCAAAAATCGAATGAAAACGTAGAAGAAAGAAGAAAGAATCTCATTTTAATTCAAGCCTTGTCGAAACATTCGATTTTTTCTGTTTGTAATCTGATCATCCTTATCATTCGATTTATATATATAGAGAGAGTGAAACAAACAAGCAAAATGTAAAGATCAACGACAAAAACTATCGTCATCAGTTTTTTGTTTTTTCTTTTCTTCATTTCTCTCTCTTCAAGTTTGTTAATTGGCCAATTATCAATCCATCCAAACACTATATATTGGAAAATGTTGTTTTTATTTTGTTGTTGTTGTTAAAGACTTTCTTCAAAAAAAAGAAAAAACGAAAAAAGAAAATCCGACCAAAAACAACACAGGATTCTATATATGATGATCATTGTTTTTTGTTTATTTTCACCGGGTTTTGTTCATCCATTTCGAATGAAACAAAAACAAAACGAATACAATGCCCAAATGACATGATTTTTTTTTCTCTATTGTTTATGATTATCCGTGATTCAGTGTCTATGGATTCTTGCTAATGGATTCTGTTTGATTTTGACAACAACCAACAACCGACCGACAATCGTCGACAACCAATGACAAGATTCTAAATGAATGAAAAAAAATAACAATAACAAATGACATGATACATACACACACATACTGGATATTGTGCTGAAATAAGCATGAATTTAATCGAATGAAAAACGACGAAGATGAAAATGAAAAAATCGATTTTTGACACCAACCGATCGACCGACAAAAGTGTGAAAATCGCGAAATTCTCTTTCTTCTTCCCAGTCCGTTTGATGGTTGTATAAAATCAAAATAACATAAACATTGAATCCAAGAATTCTACACACACTTAAACTTTCAAGATTCTTCTATTTGCTGCTGTTGTTTTGATTTTTTCAAAATTCTTTAAAAAGAATTTATGATTTTTTTCTCTTTTTGATCATCATAAATCGTGAATGGTGAATGGTGTGTGTGTGTGGTGCAAGTGTTGTGGAAATGGCCGTTTGCCAAACCATTTCGAACGTTTCAAAAAAACATTCGAAATATCAAATGAATATTGATGGATTTTTTTTCTCCACAATACCTGTGTGTTTTACCTGTGTTTGGATTCTTCAATCTACATCATAATGTTTTGATCTCTTTGTGTGTGTGTTTAATCCCATTTCAGCTTTTTTTTCTTTCATCATTCATCATCATTATATGGATCGAAAATATATGTGACACAGCACAGTGTGTGTTTGACTTATTTCGGTGTGAAAAAAGCATCTAAGCCTGACACAAGAGACAAGGAAAAGAATTTTTTTTCCGATTTTAACAGGCAAACTCAATTAGCCCAAAAAAATAGTGTGAAGAAAACATACATATTTCTTCGTTTTCGGAACCAAAACGAAAAATTTGACTGTTGGAAACATCAAAAAATAAACTGAATATAGAAAACATGAATCAAGAATTTATATGTTTGTATCCCACATATGGTAGATTCTGTCAGAGAACAACAACAACAAAAATAACAAGATTTTCAAGAATTCTTTTTTTGATCGATCGTTTTTGTTTCTGTGTTTTTTTTCTTTTGGTTAAATGAAAAAAATTCTCGACACTAATGACTAAAGACGACGACGACGACTAACACACAAATCAACCAGGCTTGTAAATTGTAAATGAATGTGAATATTCTATAAGCAAAAATATCTGTTTCTTTGCAACAAAAAAAACCGGATCAATATATCACAAGAATATTCTGTGTGTGTGTGTGTTTTATTATTATTTCCAAGTATATACGGGTTTTATTTTTCCATTTCCCTCTCTCTCTCTCTTCATTTTATTTTAAATGTGAACATTTATATTCGATTAAGGAAGAGGCGAGAATATCAAAATGTTCAAATAATGTATAATAATGTTTTTACAATTACAAAGAAAGAGAGAGAATTTCGAAATCTAATTTTATATTTGAATGGTCATTATCATTATCATCATCATCATCATTATTATTGATGATTATTATTATAATGATTTCCGCACACACAACATATTGCCAAACAAGAATCTTTTTTTTCTATTCAATGTTTTACTCATTTTGATTGATTCGAATGTCACAATTACTTAATTTTATTTCAACATGAATAAACAACGACAAAGATAAGATTTTTCTCTCTGTGTTTTGTGTTTTCTGTGTTTTGTGTTTTGTGTATGTCGTACATCATTTACGGACCATTGAATATTATCATCATCAACAACATTAAGCAACAAAAAAAACATGGATTACATACGACAATTTGATATACGTTTAGAAAAAGAAATGTATTATCCGGGTGAATGTTTAACCGGACATGTTATATTAAATACATTGGAAAATTTTAAATTAAAAGGTTTGTTTTTTGATTTTAAAATATAATAATAATTTTTTTTCTTGATCGATCGATTGAACATCAAAAATCGATTTTGATAATAATGATTTTCGTTATTATTCTTGTTTCTGCATTGTGAACACAATCACAAACATACATAGCCATACGTGTAATATTAAGAGGAAAAGCACAAGCCGAATGGAAAGTAATTGTTAGTGGTGATCGTCGAACCGTTAAAGATGATCAAATATTTATTGAAGATCGTTGTAGTATATGGGGTAAAGGTAAATATTTGATTTGTTTTGAATTTTTGTGTGTGCATCATTATCATTGATGAATGTTATTATCATTGATTATTACAATTATTAGATGGTGAAACTGGTATACTAACAAGAGGTCAACATTCATTTCCATTTAAATTTCAATTACCTGAAAGTTGTTTACCATGTAGTTTTGAATCAAAACCATGTCAAATACGTTATTATATAAAAGTAACTATTGATATACCATATGCATCACCACCACAAGGAATGAAATATTTTACAATTATTGGACCACATATTGATTGTATGGATGAACAATATCTGGTAATTTTGTAATCATATATCATATCTATTTTATTCGTTTCATTTTCACTTTTACTTTTATTTATTTTGGTTCATTTTTATCCAATAAATAGAAGCCACTTGTTGGCCGTGATAGACGTTCAATTTGTTGTCTTTGTTGTCGTCATGGTATTGTTAATTTAAAAGCATATCTAGAACGTTCTGGTTATTGTTGTGGTGAAAGTATACGTTTAAAAGCTGAAATTGATAATCAAAGTGAAGAAATTGTACGATTAAGATTAAAATTAGTTCAGGTTTGGTTTGATGATAATAATTTTTTTACTTTAATTTAATGAATTATTTTCGATATTTTTCTAGCATGTAAATTATTCGATTGAACGTGGTGTATTAGGATTAAGTAAAGAATTAACACATACTGTACTTGAATATCTTGGTGAAGATGTACAACCTGCACAAAAATTTCGTTTCGATAGTACGGATAGTCTTGTTGTACCGGTAATGCCACCAACATTATTAAATATATGTAAATTATTACAAATCTATTATATATTAACTGTAAGTTTATCATTGAATCAATCATTTGATTATTTATATTCATTTATTATTCTTGTGTTTAAAGGTTTGGATCGAAATGGAAAAATCTAATGATGATCTTCATCTAAATTTTCCAATAACAATTGCTACATGTCCATTTAGGATACCGAATTCAAATAAACAACCAATCATTGATTATGGTAAATTTATAGATTGAAATTTATGTTTAAAAATGATTATTAATAATTTAATATCGATATATTAGATGTATGCTGTGATCATGTTGAAGGTGGCCAATATATTGGACCAGAATTTCAATTAGGTCAAGTATATGATGGATCATTAGGTATGGAAGAAGGTGAAACTATTGTACTTTATCGTCCAGTTTATGTTTGTGTTCGAAAATCTACTGCCCATCAACATCAACATCAACAATCACAATCATCATCCGCAACAACAACAAAACAGTCACAACAGCCAATATCCACAATTTCGAAAAAACCAATATCAGAAACGTCAAGTTCTTTACCAGCACAATCATCATCATCATCAACATCACATAATCAACAACATTCTCATCAACAACAAAAACAAAAACAATGTGTCCATCATCAACAACAACAAAATCAATCAGAATTTACAAAACAACGACAAAAATCTATTAATAATGAGCTTACAAATAATGTTTGTCCTGGTGATCCTGGACCAAGTCGTCATTGTTGATTCAATCAAATCAAATCAGATTTTCAAATAATCCATCCTGTCAATTCTGTTTTCTTTTTAGTCATTTTTTTTCATTTGTACAAAATGAACATTTACATCATTTTTCATTCATTCATTCATATCATATGTTTATCATTTTATTTTGAAATCAAAATTTAATTAATAAAAGAAAAATTTTCTAATCAAAAATTAATCATTTAAATTTTAAATTCAATTTATCCAAATAGGTTTCAAGTTTTTTTGTTAATTTTTCAAAAACTTGTTTATCATTATTATCGAAAATTTGTTGTAAACGTTTATGATCAAAATTTCTTAAATCTTCGACAATACTGATGATTGTATGAAAATCACGATCCATTGAAAAATATTTATCGGAATTATTTGAATTTGCTGTTGATGATGATGATGGAAATTTATTTATCGAACGATCTAAACTATCATTTAAAAATGATAATGCAGAAATATTAAACGTTGCATCCATTTCTTGTGATTGAATATTTTGTTGTAGTTTTGGTATTATCAAATTAAATTCATTCAATGTTTGAAGCCATTTGTTTAATAATGACCATTCGTCAACAAGATTATCATCATCGTCATTATCGATCGATTTTGGTGGCTGATTGCAAACGATTCGGATGCGTTTTTTCAATTCCTCGTCCATTTTCTTGCGTTTTACCAAAAACAAAAACCAAAAAACAAAATTGGCGGTTGATTTTTAACTCGTAAATATTGAGTAACGTTGTTTATGAACAGCATAAGCCGCTTTCTGGAACAAATGAAAATAATTTTTTTTTGTGTGAGTGGCCAAATATCATCATCACAAAAATTGTCATCGAGGAAAAAAACACCCGAATTTTTTTCCTTTTTTAAAGAAATTTTCTCGTTGATTATTTACACCACCGAACAAATAAAAAATAATGTCAGCAGATCAAAAGGAGTATATTGTCCGCGTGCCAAGGTAATTTGTTGATGTGGTTTTTCTTTTTAAATTAATTTTTGAAAAAAATTCTTCATTTTTTTCTCCCAAAAAATGTAGCGACACAAAAAAACAATTTCATGTAATGCGTTTTAGTGCAGCTCTTAATGTTGATGTAACCAAATTGAAAAATTGTAAACTTGAACGTGAACTTATGTTCAAAGAAGCAAAAGAACAACAAGAAGAAGAATTACCTGAATTTGGTGCCGGTTCCGAATTTGGCCGAAAAGAAAAAGAAGAAGCACGACGTCGAAAATATGAACGACGAAAAACTAAACAAAATAATTCACCTTGGATTTTGAAAGTTGGTGGTAAACATGGAAAAAAGTATGAAACCAAAAAAACGATTTCGAATGTTTTTTTTCTAATGTAAAACTCTTTTCTCCTTAAAACATAGATATCGTGGTATTCGTGAAGGTGGTGTTACCGAAAATGCATCATATTATGTATTTTTTCAAGCATCCGATGGAATGTTTGAAGCATTCCCCGTTAATGAATGGTATAATTTTACACCATTTCAACGTTATAAAGCATTATCAGCTGAAGAAGCGGAAGAAAAATTCATTAAACGTGATCAGATATTGAATTTTTTTCAATTACGTAATATGGCTAAAACAAAAAATGATTCAGATAAAGATGATTCGATAAAAAAATCTGAACGTAAAATGAAAAAAGAATTTAAAGTATCCGATATGGATGATTGGTATGATATGTCCGAAAATGATGATGATGATGATGATGATAAATTCAGTGGTGGTGATGATAGTGATAATGATACAAAACATCAAAAATTAAAAAAAGATAAAAATAAAAAATTAAATAAACGTAAAATGAAAAAAGAAGATAATTCCGATAATGATGATGGTGATGATGAACCAATGGAAGATAGTGATGAAGGTGATTATGATGATAAAGAAGTTGATTATATGTCAGATGAATCAAGTAGTTCAGAATCGGAAGAAGAAAATAAAAATGATTTGAAAGGTGTTGCAGATGAATCAGCTATACGTGATCTTGTTGTATCCGAAGAAGATGAAGAAGAAGAAGAAGAAGAAAACCAAGATAAAAATTTGGATCCCGAACAGAATGAAAATGAAAATAAATCATTAAATGATGCTCAATCAAAATCAATTAAAATGGAAAAAAAATCATCTGGTGATAATGGTGGTGATTCATCATCAGATTCAGAATTTGATTCAGAAAATTCTGATTTAGAAGAACCAAAATCAGCTTTATTAATACAACCAAATAAGAATCTAAATAAAACATCGACGGAAGATTCGAAATCCACTGAATCTTCGGGTAATAAAAGAAAATTGGAAGATTCTAGCCAATCAACATCACAACAATCAAATAAAGATAATAAAGATAAATCGAATGGATTAAAATTTCGTCATAAATTGGAAAATCCATCATCATCGATTTCATCGAATGAACATTCAACAAATATGGTGAAAAAAATGAAAATCAAACATGATAGTGGTATTACTGAAGATGCTGTACGTCGTTATTTAATACGGAAACCAATGACAGCTGCTGATTTAGTACAAAAATTTAAAAATAAAACTGCAAGAAAAGCCGAATTACCGGATTTATTGGCAGAAATTTTACGGAAAATTAATCCGGAAAAACAAAATATTAAAGGAAAAATGTATTTGTCATTGAAGCCAACTTGATTTAGGCTGTTTTTGTTTTTTTTTAATTTTAATTTTAAATTTTTTTTAAATGTTTTTCAATTGAATAAATTGGATCAATTGCTAAGCAATATTCCTTCTTCGATGGTTTTTTTCATGAATGAATTTTCATTTTTTGTTTGTTTTTTCATCATTGATGGTTTTGGTGATAATTTAACTAAATCATCAAATAATCGATCATCTTCGACGCCTAATTCAGTTGAATTAAGTTTTTCCAATGCTTCAAATTCTTCTATTGTACAATTTGGTGAATATATTTGTAGAAAATCTTTTTCCGATATTAATAACAAAGTTTTTAGATTAATATTTTTACTTTCGGTAATACGAAATCCAGTTCGCTGGGCAAATATAAAACGTGTTTTTATTTGTTGATATGATTGTTCGATTGATTGTGGATAACAAATTAATGGATGTATTTGATTTGTTTTAATATTATTATCCGGATTTAACCATGGTAGAATTTTAAACGTAATATAATAATATTTTCGAAGAAATTCCGGCCAATCTTGAAGAAAAAAACCGGCCGGTGATTGATAAAATGTTTGCCATAAATCATTTTGTCCACGAATCAAATCCAAATTTTTCAACTGATAAATACGATTTTCAATAAAATTTTCATCAACCAAAAGTAAACGTGATTCTTTTTCATAGAAAACTTGTTTGAAATTTTCATTCATACCAATATGATCGACATTTTTCCGTGGATAAACATTACGTTTCCAACTATTTAATGTTTTTGCAATCGATTCATATGTATCTGGACGTAATAATGATTCAATTGAATTTAATGCCTGTAGACCTTGTGATTCGGTAAAACCATAACGTTGTAATATTTTTAAGGATAATTCTATTGAAACATTACCATGATGACTAGAATATTGATAATATTGATGATTTAGAGGAAAAAATTTCGAAACATTACGAATTTGAAACATTTTTTTTCAAAGGTAAAAAAATATAACTAATTGACTATTTTTACTTAACACAGACACTTTGGTCGAAATAGTTTCGAATATATTTTTCAAACACTGCTGTGCACGTTGTATACTGAAAAATCTTTCCTTTTCCCTTTGTTTGTTTGAGTGGTTACAGTACACACACGTTTCGTGAAAATGGTTTGTTTTTTCGGATTTTTTTATTTAATTTTGTTCCAGAAATTTTAATTTAACCAAATTTTTTTTTCTATAGACCAAAGGTACATCATCATTCGGTAAACGACACAATAAAACACATACATTGTGTCGTCGTTGTGGTCGTAGTTCATACCATATACAAAAGAAAAAATGTTCTTCATGTGGCTATCCAAATGCCAAAATCCGTAAATGTAAGTTTTTTTCGGAATTGTAGAATTACATTTCATATTTATAATTAACATTACAATTATCAATTATCAACAGACAATTGGAGCGTTAAAGCTAAACGCAGGAAGACTACTGGTACTGGACGTATGCGTTATTTGAAAATTGTTCATCGTGTTTATAGACGTGGTTTCAAAGGCCTACCAGTAGCCAAAGGATTAAAAGGTGGTAAATCGGGTGAAAAATCCTCTACCGCAACAGTATCGCAGTAGACAATGAACAACAACAACAATGATAAATGAATGTATTTTGTAAGAAAAAAAGAATTTTTTTTTTAATAAAAATTTTTCTCTGAATAAATATAACATTTGATCATAAAAATTGATTCATTTAATGAGATTCACACACACACATCATCCATACAGAAAAATCTTTTGTGTTTAAAAAACAAATGAAAAAACATGGGAGAAAAAACATTTGGAATTTTTCAACGTGCCAATTGAGCAATCAATGATGCACACATTTCAAAAAATTCCATTATATTATGATTTTTATATTGTTGATGACCAGTAAATTCAGTTGTCGATACTAAACTATTACCACCACCAGCGGTCAATGATGACGATGATGATGATGATTGTCCGGTAATCGTTGAATTTTTACCACCACCATCATTATTATTATCATTATCATCATCATCTTCATTTGGTAATGATTTAAAATCCAATAGAAAACTTTTATAATCAACTTGATATAATTGTAATGCCATTTTATAATATTTTCCTGTTGTTGGATTTTTACGCCGGGCTCGTACATAAAATTGATTTACAACTTTCCATTCCTGTTAAGAAAATAGAATCAGAATATTAATATTACGGAAAAAGTTGTTAGAAACAAAAAACTTACAAATTCTAATAATTTCATTGCACGATATACTTCATTCATAATATCGATTGGTTTGCTTTGTGATCGTATACCTAAATGCCATTTAGCTTTTTTGATTGGTGTTGTTGATTTATGATTTTTTTGATCTTGTTGTTGTTGTTGTGGTTGTTGTTGATGATGATATTGATATTGTTGACCAACACTATTTGCACGTTGTCGATTATGATCTGATTGAATTGTTGATGAATTTATATTACCCCCAGCACCAGTGCTACCTGCACCACCACTAAGAATTCTTTGTCGTTGTTTTGGAAATGGACTATTCGATTGATCTAAATATGGTGGTGGACTAGATGATACATATAAATCTTTTAAATCTAATTTTATTGCTTCATCTTCAATTCCTTTATTATCAACAATCAAATGATATGCAATGGCTAATTGATCATGTGCATCACCACTAAGTAATGAATCATGTACTTCTTGTTCGGTAACACCGAATTTTTCACAAACTTCATTCACTGCTTCAATATCGATAAATGATGCATCATTAGCCGTAGGACTTGGAAACAAATAAGCAGCCAAATCTTTTTTAAACCAATCATGTTGTTTTATATCATCGATTGTAGCACGTTTTATTGGATCAACTTGTATCATATGACATAATAATGATACAACCGATTTATTTAGATAATCCGGTATAAGAAATTGTCCAGCTAGAAAAACAAAAATTCCTGATTAAAAATCTTAAATAACATCATTATACTCATACATTTAATCTTTCGAAACAATGTTGGCATATGTTCATCATCGAATGGTAATGTACCACATAATAATGCATAAAGTATAACACCACAAGACCAAATATCAACTTCAGGTCCAGCATATAATCTATTTTGATGGTGGAATTTTTTTTAGGAAAAAAACTTTAAATTTTTTTCAAACAAAAACTTACTTTCCAGCAATAACTTCAGGTGCAGCATAATTTGGTGAACCACAACTAGTACGTAAAAATTCACCATCACGCATCATATTCGACAGGCCAAAATCGGCAATTTTTACATTTAAATTTTGATCCAAAAGTAGATTTTCCGGTTTCAAATCACGATGTACAACCATATGACGATGACAATAATCAACACCGGATATTATTTGTTGAAAAAAACGTCTAGCTTCAGATTCTTTCAATTTACCATGTTTTAGAATATAATCAAATAATTCTCTACCCGATACATATTCCATAATCATAAATATATCGGTTGGTGTACTTATTACTTGGTAACTAATTTCGGTGGGAAAAAAACGTTGAAATGAAAATCAAAAAATAGATTCAAGAATCAATGAATACTTACAGTTTAATAATATGTGGATGACGAAATAGTTTTAGATATTGTATTTCACGACGAATTTTACCAACAACATCTAAATTTTTTATCTTTTGTCGATTCAGGATTTTTACAGCAACTTTATGATCAGTAATTTGATGTGTTGCAACTGGAAAAAAAAACAAAAACAAACAAACAAAGGGTGAATTTGGTGAGCAAAAAAGAATTCTGGACAAAAAAGGTAATGACGATTATCGTATGATTATCAACTTACTTTTAACTTTACCAAATGAACCGATACCTAATGTTTCACCAAGTATATAATGACCAATTTTTATTGATTGACTATGTTGTTGTTGTGGATTATTGATTGCCATTGCAGCCGATGGTTGTTGTTGCGGTTGTTGTTGGGAATTATTCTTATCAGACATAATTATTTGATTGCAAAAACGAAAAACAAAAAAAAAAAGAAAAGAAAGAATTTGCTGATTGAAGATCGGTGTTCGATCTTTTTCTAAAAAAAACAACACAGCAGAATTTCAAATCAAAGGAAATTCAAATTCGATGAATCAGGTACGTTCGATTATGTTGTTGATGATGTTAACGAATGATAAACGCAAATGTTTTTCTTTTTTTTGCATAAATTTGTTTTTTGTTGTTTTCAAAATATTAAAACAACGTGAAATTATTAATCAACAATGTTTTGCATTTGCGTTGTTGTTGTTGTTGTTGTTGTTGTTAAATGATGTACATGTTGTTGTCGATGATTATTATTATTATTCTTTGACAAGGACAAAATTGGAAAAAAAATGGAAAATATTCTCATTACACTGTCATTGTAATGACATTGTGTTGATGTTTTGTTGAATCGATTGTCAAAACATTCGTTTCGTTTTGTTTGTTGTTTGTTATTTGGATTTTTTGATTCTGAACAAGAAAAACAAAATCGAAAAAAAAACTAAAATTATTCAACCAATCGAATATTAACCACCACCGTAAATGATGTTGTTGTTGTTTTTTAATGTTGTCGAAGTTGTTGATGTGCTTTGCCATAAGATCATATTACCAAAAAAAACAACAAAACAAAACAACAACAACAGTAAAAACTATATTTTGGCGACATCTTTCGGTGTAAAATACATATAAATTGTTGATGCTATATAATTCAAATGGTGGGAAAATAAAAGAAATGAAAGATGGTAAACGTGACTTTAATTAAAGGGGGAATTTTTCCTTTTGGATTTTTTGTTTTTTTTTGAAATTAGTCTGCACAGATATTTTTATTTTTTAAAATTCATACCGGATAATAAATAAAATTCAAATTTACAAAAAGAAAGAAAGAATAAAGCTAATGAATGATGATGGTAAACTGTGGAAAAAAAATTAATTAATTAATTATTACATAATAATCGTTTGTATTTTGTTGTAATTATTCAATAATTTCCTGTTTGGTTTGAGTTGGCTGGCGTGTTCAAAGAGTTGAAAGGTGTATTGAGTATTCTGAATAGTTAGATTTTTTTTAGAGATTTTTTTTTTTGTTTTTTAAATGTTTGAATGATCCTGATGATTATGATGAGAATGATGATGATGGTGATGCTGATGATGGTGATGGTTATGATGTTGTTGTTGATGATCATTACTAGTTGTTGTTGATGATGATGATGGTAAGGCTGTATCTTCATAATTTTCATTATTAAGATCTTGATAAAAATATTGATTTTCACGATTAGTTCCTGTGCTTAAAGTGCCACCACCAGCGCCAGCGCCACCACCATTATCTAATTGTTTAAAATTTTTACGCATTCTACCGGAAAATAATCTTGCAATTTGTGTAAATTTTTTCTTTGATAATTTACCCATATTACGTAATCGTTCTTTAAATATAGCATCGGAATCAAGAAAATTACTTGCTTGTGTTAGATCAGCGACTCCACCGGTGGTTGTATTGCTATTTGGGATACTTTTTTGAGAAATTTTTTGGTTAGAATTTAGTTTTTTAAAAGTGTTAAAAAAAAGATATTTACCTAGATCCACTATAATGGCCACCACTACTATTATTATCAGCATCCAATGTTGACATAAAATCCTGATTCATTCGTAATTCACGAACAAATTCTTCATTTTGTAATAATATAGCAAAACGTTCATCTTCTAAATATTGTGCCATTTCAGGATCATCTAAGTAACTACAATAAACAGCTAATGCAAATAAAACAAGGTAAAAGACTTTAAAACGAAAAACAAGATTTTAAATGAAAATGAAATGGAAAAAAACACTGGAAAAACTTCACCTGTTGTAAAAATGAACTACTTATAAGATTAGTATGTTCATTATTAACATTAAAATTTGTTAATTTTCTTTGTGTTTCATTTAATTGTATACGTAGAAAATCTTTTGATAATTCACCTAATAAAGGTGGTTCCCAATGATATTTATAACGTAATGAATCGGATGAAATGATACGATGATTTTTCAATGATGAATTTGACATTAAATTAGCATCAATTTGATCATTATTAGGATGATGATGATGAAAATTTAAATCTTTATTAGATGTTTTAGCGGCCAAATGTCCATCATCGATAAAAATGTTACTATTATATTGATGATGCTATTGATTGATTGATTGATTTGATCAAAAGAAGGTAAAAAACTTAATGAATACAGAATACATTACCTGTTCATTATTAATAGCTGCTGCTGTTTTATTTCGTTTCTTTTTTTCTTGTGTTTCATTATTAATCTGTAATAATTGATCAATAGTTGTATCAACAACACCATTATTGGCACGTAATATAGCTTCAATAATATCTTCTTCCATATCGGGAAACATATGTTTAAAATCGGACATTGCCTGATTAAATTCCAGTTGTGTAACACCGGATGATGATGCTGTTGATGATGAATTTGATGGATACATTTTTTTTTGATAATGATGATTATTTCCAAAAACAAATAGAGAACAGCTGATTCAAAAAAAATGAATAAGAAATTTCAGAGAAAAATGTTATGAAAAAAAATCGAGTAAAGTTATCAGATTAATTCATTCGAATCATTTCGAATGTTGTCGTTGATCTTTTTGAATTTGACGTAAAATTTCAACAACTTCAGGTGAATTCATTAATTTCTATCGAAAGAAAATATGAAGAAAAAATATCAGCAAATAAATCATCGATTGATCGATTTGGGTACAAACCATTTTCTTTTGATTTAAAATATTTTGAATTTGTTTTTTTAAATCAATTTGATTAAAAGAATTTGATTCTATTGATGTTGAATGATTACCAGCACCACCACCACCACCATTGATAATCGATATTCCATCCGATGATGATGACGATGACGATGAAGAAGTGGATGAAGAAGATGTTGATGTTGATGTTGATAATGGTGATGAAATCTTTGGATTCATTTCTTATGAAAAAGAAAAAATTTCTACAAAAAACATTGAAGATAATTTGAATTGATAATCGTGGCCATAACTGTTTATGATCATCAATCAAATAATCATTTGAAAAAAAATTGACATTAATCAATCAATCAATCAATCGATCGATCGATGATGATTAAAAAACATTTGTCAACAACAAAACAAAAAACCAAAACAAAAAAAACAAAGCTCAATTTGTTAAATGAATATATTGGTACAATAAAACAAAACTCCAATCCGAAATAATCGATCGATAGATGGCGACTCTAGTTCTGAAAAATGAAATAAAATTGTTTTTTCTTCTTCATGAAAAAGAAAAATTCTTCCCAAAAAAATGATCCAATTTTTTTGTTTCCTTCGAATAAAAGTTCCAGCAATCAATCAAATACACATCACCTATTTTATTTTTAATGTAAACATTTTTTTCGTTATGAATATAAATATGGTAACTAAGAAGCGCCCACGCTTTCATTATATAAGTCAGTCATTCCATCAATAGATATTTTCTCCTGGAAAAACGCGTTTCACTTTTTTCAAAGAAAAATTGTTTTAAAAAAAATTGTTTTCAAAAAGAAAACAAATATATCACACATTGGAAAAATTGGGAAAGAAAACTTTTCATATTCATTCAGTTATTTCGAACAATAGACACACCTACACACAGACGAAAATCCAAATTCAAATTCAGTTTTTTAGTTTTTCAGATTGAAAAAGAAAGCATCTTTTAGAAAAACATAAAGACGACAGTTTCTTGTGGATAATTTCATAATCACCAAATATCAAATGAAATGGCCGATATACAATATCTCTTGTCCAAGAAAATCCTGTCCAAATATTGATCATCTGTCTTTCTGAAATGCAAAATATTAAAAGGGAAAAAAACCTTCGTTTTTTTTTTGTTGTTGTTCGTTTAAAATTGTTTGCAAGACGAAGATATTTTTTTCAAATATCGATTACATGTTCGGAAGTTTTTCGTTANAAAAAAAGGTATTTACCTTGATCCACTATAATGGCCACCACTACTACTATTATTATCAGCATCTAATGTTGACATAAAATCTTGATTCATTCGTAATTCACGAACAAATTCTTCATTTTGTAATAATATAGCAAAACGTTCATCTTCTAAATATTGTGCCATTTCAGGATCATCATTCATTGATGTTATTTGTCGATTACGTTTATTTTGTTCCATTTTCTGAAATTTTTGAAAAAAGAAAAAGATTTCATTAGAAATTAAAATGAAAACACTGGAAAATAAACGCCAAAATACAAACCTGTTGTAAAAATGAACTACTTATTAGATTAGTATGTTCATTATTAACATTAAAATTTGTTAATTTTTTTTGTGTTTCATTCAATTGTATACGTAGAAAATCTTTGGATAATTCACCTAATATAGGTGGTTGCCAATGATATTTATAACGTAATGAATCTGGTGATATACGATGATGATTTTTCAATGGTAATGAATTTAACATCGAAGTAGCATCAATTTGATCATTATTAGGATGATGATGAAAATTTAAATCTTTATTAGGTGTTTTAGCGGCCAAATGTCCATCATCGATAAAAATATTATTACTATTATATGGATGATGCTATTGATTGATTTGATTAAAAGAAGGTAAAAACTTAATAAATGCAAAATACATTACCTGTTCAACATTATTAATAGCTGCTGCTGTTTTATTTCGTTTCTTTTTCTCCTGTGTTTCATTATTAATCTGTAATAATTGATCAATAGTTGTATCAACAACACCATTATTGGCACGTAATATAGCTTCAATAATATCTTCTTCCATATCGGGAAACATATGTTTAAAATCGGACATTGCCTGATTAAATTCCAGTTGTGTAACACCGGATGATGATGATGAATTTGATGGATACATTCTTTTTGATAATGATGATTCTTTCCAAAAAAACAGATAGAGAACAAAATGAGACGATGATTCAAAAAATGAATGAGAAATTTGAGAGAAAAATCGGTTTTGAAGAAATCGAGTGGAGTTTTTGGATTGATTGATTGATTGATCAGGTTAAAAACATTCGAATTTATTTCGAATGTTTTCGTTGTCGTTGTTCCTGTTGAATTTGACGTAAAATTTCAACAACTTCAGGTGAA